GTTGAGGAGGTCATCTAAAGCAATCTCAGCATCCTTGACCCAAGAGGCACTATGAAACCAAGCTAAGGGGATGGCTGTGCTAGTCCTATAAAGTTCTGGAAAGGAATCAAGTGAGTCTAGGAGATGCCAGGTATTTAAAAATAAAGTATGAATGGAAATATATGAAGTAGAGTAGGGAACCCAAGAAAGCATTATTGAAGTAGTCGGATTTTGAGAGACTCGTGTTCAAATTATGACTGTCTGATTGTAGGAGCAGCCATACCAAACTTCCTGGGCAGTTTTTTAGGTCATGACCATGGGGTGCTTTGGGTTCTGAAGGACCATTGATTTCTGACCTTATGAAGACTGAAATTTCTTTCCCTTCCTGCATGTCTTCTGGCAGCCTGAAGAAAAGATTCTGTGGCAGATTCTGAGCCTGGCTTTGAGGGGAGAGGCAGAGCCTGGAAGCTCTGAATTCGAGCCCAGGCACAGTTATTTATTTATTCATTATTTTTAGTCAGCTTTTTCATCACTGTGAGCAAAAGACTTGATAAGAATGACTTAGAGGGGGGAATTTTATTTTGGCTCACAGCTTCAGGGGCTCAGTACATGGTCAGTCAATTCCATGGGTTCAAGGGGAGACAGAACATCATGGTGGAAAACATGACAGAGAAAGCAGCTCAGCACATGGCCAATAGGAGGCAAAGAGAGTTCTGTTCACCAGGAACCAAAATATATGCCCCCAAAGTATATCACCAGTGACCTACTTCTTCCAGCCACACCCTACCTGTTTACAGCTCCAGTTAATCCATATCAGTGAATTAATCCGCAGATCTGGTTATACTTTCTTATAATCTAATCATTTCACCTTGAAAATTTCTCCATTGTCTCACACATGCACTTTTGGGGGATACAACATATTTAAACCATAACATTCTGCCGTTGGCCCCCCAAAGCTCCTACGCATCTCACAATGCAAAATACATTTAGTCCATTTCAAAGATTCCCCATAGTCTTAACAGTTCTAGCATTGCCCACAAGGTCAAGTCCAAAGTCTCCTCTGACTCAAGGGAAACTCTCAGTGTCAGCCCCTGTAAAGATCAAAATCAAATTACACATATCCAATACATAATGGCACAGAGTAAACATTTCCATTCCAAAAGGGAGAAATAAGAGACATTGAAAGAAGGGATAGAACCAAAGCAAGACCAAAATCTAAGCTGAGCATACAAATTCTGTAGATGTACATCCAGCATCTGGGGCACATGGCATCAAGATGTTCTCTCAAAAGGTCTGCTCCTGTAACCTTGCTGTCCACCTGCCTCTCTCTTGCCTTGTACCTGCTTGATTCTCACAGCTGTTCTTGGCAGACATTTCCCAATACTGGCGTCTCTTAATCTCGAGGGTCTCCACTGCAGCTGCAGCTTCCTTCTTGAATCATCATGCATCACCCTCTCAGAGGCAGCCCTTAGGGACTCTGACTCTGCCACACTTGGCCAGCCTCCCAGGCCTTCCTTTGAAATCTTGGTGGGAGCTTCTATGATCTCCTAACTCCAGCATCCTGCAGTCCTGCAGAACCAGCACCACATGGTGGATAGTGAGGTCTGCTGCCATCTTGGGCAGTAGCCAAGCCTCCTGGAACCCTGCTGCAGAAGCCTCTGAGTACCTGGGTAACTGAGCACCTGTTAGGCCCCCTGTGCAACCAGGGTGCCCCGTGGTCTCTTCTCAAAGGAATTTTTACTTTTATACCTTTGAGCCTGAGATGATGTAGTCTTGCCAATGCCTGAGATGCCCTTAAGCCATCTTTCCTATTGTTTCTTTAGCCACTGTAATCTCTTTGACAGCCAGCCACACTTTCCTTAGCCCCAGTTTTACTTACACTTTTCTGGCCAAACTGCAACTTTTTCAAATCTTTATGCTCTGCTTTCTGCTCCTGATTATCATGATAAGGTTGGCTAAAAATTACCAGGAGTATCCATGTCACTGTCTGAATGCTATGCTGCCTTGAAATTTCCTCTGCCTGATTAATTAGTCTACCCCCTTTGAATTCAGCCTCACAGAAAGTCTCAGGATATGAGCAAAATATAAACAATTTCTTTATCAGAATACAACATGAATGGCCTCTCCTCCAATATCCAACAGAGTCCTCCTTCTACTCTGAAATCTCATGAGACCAGTCTTTACTGTCCATAGTCCTGTTGACATTCTAGTCTCTGAACTCCCATCCAGAATTGCTCATTAAGTTCTGCTTACAACATTCTGAAACTTTTCCAGCCTGTATCACCAAACTTTTCAGAATTCCTCTTGCCAATTCCAATTCCCAATGCTGAACAGCATAGTGAGGTTAGTCACAGCAATGACCATATCTGGGTACCAATTTGTTTCTGTCAGCTTTTTCATAACTGTGACCAAAAGACCTGACAAGATGATTTAGAGGAGGAGAAGTTTATTTTGGGCTCACAGTTTCAGAGGTTCAGACCATGCTTGGCTGACTCCATAACTCGGGACCTGAGGTCAGGCAGGCAGAACATTATAGAAGAAGGGCATGGTGGAGGCAAGCTGCTCAGAACATGATCACCAGGGAGCAGAGAGAGAGGAGAGAGAGAGAGAGAGAGAGAGAGAGAGAGAGAGAGAATGAGAATGCGTGCTAGCTGTGTTCACCAGGGACAAAAATATAGACCTCAAAGGTACACCCCAGTGACATACTTCCTCCAATCACACCCTACCTGCCCCATAGTTATTGCCCAGTTAATCCATATCAGTGGATTAATCTATTGCTTAGGTTACATATCTAATCATTTCACCTCTGAAAATTCTTGCATTATCACAAGTTAACTTTTGGGGGATATCTCATATCTAAACCATAACATTAAAATTGTACATGTTCCTAGTGTATGATGTGGCATTTTGATAAAAGTGTACATTGTGAGATGACTAAATTAAGGTAATTCACATGTCCCTTGCCTTAATATATTTATTTATTTTGTACTTGGGATTGAACCCAGGGGTGCCTAACCACTGAGCCACATCTCCAGCCCTTTTAAATTTTTATTTTGAGACAGGCTCTTACTAAGTTTCTGAGGCTGCTTTGAACTTTCAATCTTCCTGTCTCAGTTTCCCAAGCCGTGAGAATGCTTATGGTGTACTCTCAGCAATTTTCAAGTACATGTGTTGTTATTAACTATGGTCACCATGCTGTACAAGAGATTTCCATAACTTATTTGTTGTGTTTTACTGAAACTTTGTACCTTTTAACTTCCCCCACTCCAGCCTCCTGGCAGCTATTGTTCTATTCTTTGCTTCTGTGAGTATGACCTTTTTAGATTCTACATGTAAATGAGATGGTGGAGTCTTTGTCTTTCTGTCCTGGGTCAGTTATTTCTGGATGTGTGACCTCATTGCATTCGTCATCTGTAAAATGCCTACCTCCTTTCTCTAACTGCTCTACAGAGCTTTTGTGAAACACAGTGAAATCTTGGTCTTAAGTTCTAGCATTGTGAGAATTCTGAGTCTTAACATTACCATCACATATTAAGAACTGCTTGCTTGGGGCTCAAAAATTTGCTCTTATTTAAATCTGGCACCCACAATGACTTGTATTTCATATTGAGTAAAGCAATGAGATTTATAAAAGGGCTTAAGTTTAGTTAATTCTTTGTTACTTGGGAACAATTAGGATCATTGGATTTGCAGAATTTTTAGACCTAACTTTCCTTTATCTCTTCCATTCCTTAGAAAATATTTGGACTAGTAGAGGCTTAAACAACCTACAAGTACATTTCTCTTTCATGTAATAGTCCAGGTAGAAATGGTCCAGGACAGTTTTAGGGGTAGGGTGGTACATGGAGCCAGGGACGGAGGTGTCTCTTTCTTTTTTAAAAAAATTTTTAGTTATAGTTAGACACAGCTTTATTTTATTTATTTATTGTTTTATGTGGTGCTAGGATCCAACCCAGGGCCTCAAATGTGCTAGGCGAATGCTTTACCACTGAGCCACTACCCCAGCCCCCAGAGGTGTGTCTATCTTATTTTTCATGTGGCTTTTATCTCTTGGCCCAAAGTGGCTGTCCCAACTCTGATCTTTAGGAAAGGGATGAAAAGAAGACAATGACCACAGCCTCACATCTCTGCATGCACATCCCTGTGGGCAGAACTATTCAAGTGTCCACTTGGCTAGGGAGTACTTTTGAGCTCAGTTCCATGTGTCCAGATAGAAATTCAATTACTAAAGCAGGGAGACTGAGTATCATTGGGGATGGGTGGGCAGTGTTTGTCACAGGTGTCCAGGGTCATGTCAGTAATCTCCAAATATTTAGGAAGTGCACAGATACGTGGAAGGCAGTTTTTATTAGACCATCCCCACCCATTACTATGGGATGACATTTAAAGAGAAGAATGGGGAGTTTGAGGCTGTTGGCTTAGAAGAGGCTTGGAGATTTTATTTGTGCTTTTCTTTTATTCAATCTTTTGAAGCCATTTATTATTCATGGAGTTCTCGGTTATTCCTTCTTGCCACATTCCAGGCACATTTGTAGGTGCTGGGGAGTCAGAAATCATGATTCCCACTCTCTAAAGGTCTACTTTACAGGGGAGACGGATATCACACCAAAGGAGAGAACTCTCTGATACATACTGTGATAGAAGGCCCTGGGCAGTGCTGGGGGAAGACCTAACCACCTTTAGCAGGAATGAGTGTTTGTGTGTGTGTTGGATGCAGAATGGGATGAGGTCCTCGGAAGGAGGAGGTTTGATCCGGGTCATGTTCGCTCACCTTGAGTAGTGAAGGGTCCCTGGGAGTGTGAACAAAGTGCAGTGATGTTAAGAGGGTATTATCTGGACTGGGGTTGTGGTTCAGTGATAGAGTGCTTGCCTAGCACATGGGAGGCACTGGGTTTGATCCTCAACAGCACATAAAAATAAATAAATTAAAGGTTTTGTGTCCATCTACAACTAATATATATATATGGCTGTTATCTAGGGTCAAGTCCATGGTCTCATGTTTTGTCATTTTCTCTTCCTAGAACCTCTCACTGTGGACATTGAGAACCATCCTGAGAAGGAACAATGCTGTCCCGATGGGAACTGTCTCTTTACCTGCTGGCTTCACTAGGCTTCCACTTCTATTCTTTCTATGAAGTTTACAAAGTCTCCAGAGGTAAGGCGCTCCATGCTTTTCTGATCTCCTATCACAAAAAAAAAAAAAAAAAAAAAAAAAAGAAGTGAGGAGGGAATGCCCACAGGTATAAGATTCAGGAAGATGGTTCCATAGGATCAGGATGACTTGGATCCTGCTTTTCTTTTGCGTAAAGTTTGAATTAATGACCTGAGTTCATGACATGCTTTGTCTCAGTGCTGTGGTCTTTTAGGTGATTTTGTGACTCATCTCCTGTAATAGCTGCTGCTACTTGTGTGTGTGTATGTGTGTGTGTGTGTGTGTGTTTGCGGTGTTGGGGACAGAACCCAGAGCCTGGTGCATGCTGATCATATGCTCTTCCCTGAGCTACACCTCTAGCCTCTCCTGTAATCGGAGGATTTGACTCAACAGCTGTTGAAGGCCCTGGAGGGAACTTGCCTCAGGAATTTGAAGTATACTTTTAAATTTCTCTTTCACCAACATTCTTTTCAGGCATGTCTCAGACATATGGAGACAGTTTGAAGGTGTTAGTGATTCAGACTCTTTTTATCTTCTTCATTTTTTTGTTAGTCAGAGGCTTGCTGTGTTACCCAGACTGGCCTCCAACCTCTGGACTTAATTAATTAGTCCTCCATCTCAGCCTCCCAAGTGGCCGGGACTGTAAGAACCTACCACCACAGCCTGCTTCCTTTTATCTTCTCGTTCTGCAATATTTAATGTGTTGCTGTTGTCTGTGTGTTGGAGGTGAATTATCCCCAAATCATATTCTAGCCCATAGTAAGGGGAACGGGGGGGGGGGCGCTTTTCTTTTGACAGCAGTTTGGCAAGAGTACCTGTCACTCCTGCTCAGTTGGCCCAGTTGGTCAGCACTGAGCCACATGGCCACAGCTGGGAAACTGGGAAGTATAGTCCTTAGCTTAGTGGCCATGTGCTACCTAAAATCTAAAAGAATTTTGGAGGGACCAGGGGTAGTCTCTGCCATAGTTAGGGACAATTTCTTAGCTATAATGGAGATTGTGGAGGTTGTCCTAAAGAAGAGCAGGAGCTAGTCAAGTAGAGAGGGGAGTTGAGGAGCTGTGGCTAGAGATGGGCTTTGCTGGCGAGTGGACAAGCTAGTGTAATACCATTGGGACATAAGAAAGTGTAATATGATCTAGTAACTGCAAACCACTCATGGGATGTAGTGTATGTCTGGAATGTGGGATATGATGAGGGGGTGGAAAGAGCTGAACTCAGATCAAAAAGCTATGGATTGTGAAAGACATTGTATGTTCCACTGAGGGATTTGGATTTCATTTTAAAGGCAGGAGAACATTTTGAAAGTAGGTGAGGTCACTTCAAATGGAAAAGGTAGAAGCCAGGGGTATAGTTCCAAGTAGAGAACATGCTCAGTATGTGCAAGGCCCTGGGTTTGATCCCCAGAACCACAATAAAATAAAATGGCAATGTTAGGTTTGGGGAAGCACCACAGAATGTCTCTTGTCTGTTGTGTGCAGACCACCCTATGGATCACCAGGATTGGTTTGGATACAGATCACCAGTATTGACTTTTCTCTCCATTTTACTCACGTCCCACTTATAGCCATGGGCATGATGGTAGGGACTGACTAAAGTAGAGGGGGATTGGTTTTGATCAGGGCTGGCCATGCAGTTGTGTTTCCTGCTGAAGCCTCTGGTCTCTCAGCCCATGTAGAGGAAACGAACCTGCTATGTCACACACCATGTTGGCTACTTTGTATTTCTCATCTCATTGAATTGTTGGCACAACCAAAGATGAGATGGTACATTACTTAGAAGACAGGTTTGGCAACAGGAATGGCATCCCAGATAACTGTGGTCCGCAGTGGCTATGGCGTCTAGGTGGCATTAGATACCCTGGTTCCATCTCTCATGTTCCTCTGAGGTCCTTAGCACATAGCTCCATCTCATACACCGGGGCTGCACCAGGAGTTATCTTAGTTTTCTGCCCAGCAGGAAGGATGGAAGGGGAGGAGAGTCATCTCCTTTTAAGAAAGTGACCTGAAAGTTGCTTATGTCATATATATTCAGTACTGTCCCATTTACTGGAACCTAATCCTGTGGCCACATTAGTTCAGAGAGAAGCTAGGAAGCATAATCTTCCATTGGGAGGTCATTTTTCCAGTGTAAACTCAATGGTTTTATGATCGAGGGAGAAAGCCAGAGTGGATATTAGCAATTAATCAGTCTCCTCCATAGATGGGTGTCTTAGTTATCGATTGCTGCACAATGAATTATCCTAAAATCTTGTGATTTAAAATAATACCTGCTATCTATTATTTCTCACTGTTCTGGGAGAATTTTCCCCTTCTGAATAGGCTTTACATATATGCATCCATATACATATCAGGGATTGAACCCAGGGGCACATAACCACGGAGCCACATCCCCAGCTCTTTTTAATTTTTATTTTGAGATAGGGGCTTACTAAGTAGCTGAGGGTCTTGCTGAGTTGCTGAAGCTGGCCTTGAACTTGTGATCTGTCTGCCTCAGCCTCAGGAGTTGCTGGGATTAGAGGCGTGTGCCACTGTGCCCTGCAAAGTTTTACTTTTTGAAGCAGTTTTGGATTCACAGAAACCTTGAGTACAAAGTTCCCACTTTCCCCATGCTCTGAGACATGTACAGCCCTCCTACCAACATCCACCACAACTGATGAACCTACATCCACCCATCATAATCACTCAAAGACCATAGCTTACCAAAGGGTCCATTCTTGATGATGTACATTCTGTGGGTTTTGAGAAATGCATGATGACAAGTATCCACCTTATAATATCATACAGAGTAGTTTCATTCCCCTAAAATTCCTCTGTGTTCTGCTCATTCCTCCCTCTTCCCAACCCCTGGAAACCCCTGATCATTTTACTGACTCCATAGTTTGCCTATTCTAGAATGTCATATAGTTGGGCCTCTTTAGGATGGCTTCTTTCACTTAGTAAGAAACATTTAGAAGGACATCCCAGTTTTGCTTCCAACTTTTGGCAATTACAAATAAACCTATAAACACCTTTGTGGTTTTTTTTTTTGAGAGAGAGAGAGAGAGAGAGAATTTTTTAAATATTTATTATTTTTTAGTTTTTGGTGCACACAGCATCTTTGTTTGTATGTGGTGCTGAGGATCGAACCTGGGCCGCACGCATGCCAGGCAAGCGCGCTACCGCTTGAGCCATATCCCCAGCCCCTTTGTGTGGGTTTTTGTGTGGACTAAGTTTCTGACTCATATGGGTAAATGACAAGAAATACAATTACTTGATCATACGATTAAGAGTATGTTTATTTTTGTAAGAAACTGCCAAACTGTCGAATAAGGTGGCTGTACCATTTTGTGTGCCCACCAGCAATGAGTAGCAATCCTTGTTACTCCACATCCTTGTCAGCAATTGCTATTGTCTGAGCTGTGGTTCTTGGCTGTCCTCATAGGTGTGTAGTGGTGTCCTGTTGTTAACATTTGATGACATAGGACATGGAACATCTTTTCATTTGCTTATTTGTATATCTTCTTTGACTAGCTGTTTGGGTCTTTGGCCCATTTTTAAATTGGATGGTTCATTTTGATAATGTTGAGCTTAAAGATTCATAAAAAAGTTGAGTATATAAAATCTTTGTGTATTTTGGGTAATACTTCCAAAATGTATCAGGTACACCTTTTGCAAATTTTTTTTTTCCTATTCCATGGCTTGTCTTTTCATTTTCCTGACAGTATTCTTTTCAAGCACTTTTTAATTTAAATGAAGTCTGGCTTATCAATTCTTTCTTTCATAGATCATGCCAAAAAAAGTCATTACCACACCTAATATCATCTAGGTTCTCTCCTATGTTATCTTCCGGAAGTTTCACATTTTACTTTTAGATTTATGTTCCATTTTGATTAATTTTTGTGAAAGATTTTTTTTTTTTTTTTGCACATGGATGTCTAGTTGTTCCAGCACCATTTGTCGAAAAGACTGTCTTTATTCTATTGTATTGCCTTTGTTCTTTCTCTGAATCTGTTGATTATATTTATGTGGGTCTATTTCTGGGCTCTCTATTCTGCTCCAGTGACTTATTTGTTCTTTGACCAATACCACACTCTCTTTATTACTGTACCTTTATAATTAAAATCTTGAAGGCAGGCAGTGACGGTTTTCTGACTTTCTTCAATATCATGTTGGCTATTCGGGAATCTTTGTCTCTCTCTAAAAACTTGACAATCACTTTGTTAAAATCCACGAAATAATGCAATGGGATTTTGATTTGGATTGCATTGAATCTGTAGATTGAAATTGGAGAACTTCTTCAATATTGAGTGTTTAGTGGAAGCACGGACTGTCTCTCTCCATTTGTTTAGTTCTTTGATTTTTTTTTTAATGAGAGTTCTGTATTTTTCATCATGTAGACTGTGTACATATTTGGTTAGATGTATATCTACGTATTTTAGTTTTTGGAGAGATAATGTAAATGGTACTGTTTTAATTTCAAGTTCCATTTATTTATTGCTAGCATATAGGAAAGCAGTTGACTTTTGTACATTAACCTTATATTTTGCAACCTTGCTATACCTATACCTTAATGGACCGGAGGTGGAAACCCAGGTCTTTTCATCTAGACTTAATCCTTTTTCTATTCTATCCACTCATCTTAATTAATGCTTCTTAAGTCAGCTTGTTTTAAAGGGGAGATTCTTTTTGTCTGTTCTACTATTAAACTTTAAGCTGAAAATTTTTATTTCAGTGGAGCAAATTATTTTATTCCTTCTTACACAAGCGGTAGCTTCCAGGTTGGGGGTGGGGCTTCCTCTGTTTTGGGTATAAAACCTTCTGTGCCTCAGATGGCTCAGAAGCTGAATGCTCCTTGGCTTATTACTGAATACTTTGCAGGCCAAAACTGCTTTTATCCCTCTGATTGTTGGTGCCAAAATGTTTCTCAGAACATTGTCAGAAACTATCTTCCTCTAATCCTTTGGCCAGTTCAGTTCACGGAAGCTGGATCTCTCTGCCTTGATGAAGTGTGCTTTATTGGTGTGA